AGGAAAGGAAAGGAAAGGAAAGGAAAGGAAAGGAAAGGAAAGGAAAGGAGGGAGGGAGGGAAGGAAGGAAGGAAGGAAAAGAGCAAGCAAGCAAGAGGGAGGGAGGGAGGGAGGAAGGAAGGAAGGAAAGAAGGAAAGAAGGAAAAGAGAAAGAAAGAAAGAAGGGGAAGGGAAGGGAAGGGAAGGGAAGGGAAGGGAAGGGAAGGGAAGGGAAGGGAAGGTTAAAACAATTAGGCTTAGCTTGTGTGCATGCAAATGCTAGGACTTTGCCCAATCTGGTTAAATTTAGTCCCCTCCACCCCGTAATCTTGGGCTAGAAAACTGTTCTATAACTTGCTTAATCGTTTTAGACTGAAATAATATTTTCGGTTTAAATAGGTTAAGCTACTTCATCCAGGAGCCATTAACTCTTGCCCCACGGCCCCACTGCCTCAAACAGAACGCTGATCTGTCAGACCTAGTACTGTTTATCCTGAACACAGAAGGAAACGGAGGAAGCTGCTTTAAACTATTCCAGGATTTAATCCTGCTTTCTCCACTGCCATGATCTCATGTAAGGGAGGGCCAACTCCCCCCCCCGTAACCCGACGAAAAAGACGCACCTCTGTTCACATCTCCATCTTCCGGCAATGCCAGATGTGAGCGCGAGATTAGGTTCTCTGAGCAATCACCAGGCCCAGCAACGACCAACGTTTTGATTAAAGCTCTCCTGATTTTTGCAAGCCTGCTTCTCTGCTGTGCTGCCTCGCAAGTCTGCTGTGAGGATAGAAACCTCTGCTGGTTCCCTGGGGGATGGGAGGCTCATAAATGGAAGAAAGGGTTCCCCTCGAACTTCCAAACTTCAGCGGGCCCAATCATTTTGTCCTAGTACAAAAACACGTTTTCAAGATTGTGCTATGACCCAACTGCATTTGAAAAGATGATTGAAACTTTTGACAGTTGATTGTGAGCTCATGCGATCCCCTGGGGCGAGGAGAAAGTGCTTACAGGCGATCAAGCAAAAATTAAGCAGCTTTTGTAAATTGAAGGAACGTTTCAAGGGTCCCTGTCCCCCATAAGGGATTGACAATATGGTGCAAGTGAATTCAGGGCACGCACAAAGGCAGACAGGCTAGTAAAAAATGAGGATGGAGATGCAAAACTCTTGAAGACTCCTTTATAGGGAGTTTTATGTAATTCTTTTTATTTCTGAATGTCTTATTTCATATATTTCTTGAGGTGCTGGAACTAGACAATGTGTTTTCATGGAGGTGGCGCTTATAGCAAGAGGTACAAACTGTCGAGGAGTCAAAATGGATTGACACTTTCAGGCAGATGGATGCACCCTCCAGAGATTGCAACAGGAATTGACTTTAATAAGTTCCTGTTCCCTCTGGGACTTCACCAGCACAAAGATGGTATTTCCTGACCCTCTGTTTTCTGTCTCCTGTTTGTGGCGATGAGCCTCAGCAATTCCCTGCCTTTTCCACTTGGCCTGAATGAACCCTGTTTTCCCCTTGCTCCCTATTTTGAAGATCAGAAACAAACATCCCATCTGGGTAATTTGACAATGGCTTCAGAAACCAATTACGGCGGCCATAAATCTTTGCCTGCCGGATGACTTGTCAAGCTGGATGTGGTAGAAGACACATCTGTTGCTTTTTTCTGGGAAAAATTAAATAAAGGCCACCGAAATTCTTCATAAGGGATTTAGCCTGTACACTTGATTCAAAACAACCCCAAACCACAACACTGCCGTTTGTGCATTTCAGCGACAAACTCGCCTTGGCTTCCGGTTAATTGAATTGCTCAACTACCAGCATTTCACAGGTGAAAATAGAGGGGCGGCAACTTACTAAGGCTTTGTTTTTAGGTTTCCCCAAACACAGCTAAAGGTCCCACCAGGTCAGGTAGACTGCAAAGTTGGGGCAACCTTCAGAATCCCTCGGATGATTTTTCAAAGACAGCGGGAGGAAAAGAGCAAATTCATTCTTCCTGGCTGTTCATTTTGTTTTCCCCTGGATGCTATAAAAACAATCTCATCCAGGATGGGGGGAAATGGAGTGGAGGTGCCACCCATTCCTGCTTGCAGGGCACCTGGGTTTTTTAGTCAAAAAAAGAAAGGAAAAAGAAAAGAAAGAAAGAGAACAAACAGACAAGGCAAGACCACGTTTTCATTTCTTCAGTCCTAATTGTTCAAACTCAGCAAAAAGGTTTATTCTTTGATGCTGTAGCCAAGAGAGTTCCACTGTTAAAGAAAAATACGTTGTTTTTTTTTTAAGGTCTGTACCTTTAATGTGGAAGATCTGGACCTGTGCGGAACAGAAATAGTAGCACCACTCCTGGGAGGGAGAGCCATTTGCTAATCCCGGCAAATGCCCACGCAGCTCCCCTCTGGAGCTAATTATTTCCCACCCCGTGCTCTTTTCATTTCCATTTTGCTTCCCTTGTGAAAATTCTCCCCGCTAGAGACACTGCGGGGTGTGCAAACCTAAGTGATGTGAATGCAAACCATGTGTTAGTTCTTGCTACAACGGGAAGCCAGAGATGCAAAGGATGCTCTAGAACTGCATCTGATGAACGGACGGGTGTGAAAACGATCAGGCAGCCAGTCTGGGGTGGTGGTGAAGGCACCAGGCTAGAAACTGGAAGACTGGGAGCTCTGGTCCTGCCTTAGGCACGAAGCCAGCTGGGTGACCTTGGGCCAGTCCCTCTCTCTCAGCCCTGGGAAGGAGGCGATGGCGCACCGCTTGCGAAAACTTTCCAAGGAAACTGCAAGGACTCGTCCAGGCAGTCGCCAGGAGTCAAGACTGACTTGAAGGCACCCCCCCGCAAAAAAACAAAAAATCAGGGACACAAGCATAGAAAAATAGAAAAATAACCTGTTTTAAACACAGCAATACTTTTGGAAGACCACCCTGTCAGAGAAAGGGTGCTGTTTACACAGTTTACAATGGCACAGGTGACAAAGTTAACTTGGATACATAGATAAAATTGGTTGAAAACTGGCTATCATCACCATGATACCTCCCAGTTCCACCCCCCCACCTTCTGATCTACCTGATGAACCTCTGATATCAGGGATGCTTATAAGCTTTCGAATTCTCTGAGCGGAGACGTGTCAGCCATAGGATGTTCATCGACAGTGCAACTGCAGAAAGCAGCTGAATGTTTGGTTAAATCAGAAGAAAACTCTCCTTGGAGTCTAGTTGAAGCAGAACGTGTGGGCAGAGGGAGGGTGGGGAACGAGGCTGCAAGGTATATGGAACCATAGGCAGCGAGGCAAGATTCACAAAGACAAAAAAATAAAATTAAATTAAATTAAGAAAATGGAAATGGACAGATATGGCATGTTAGGGAGTTCTAGGGAGGAGATTGGCTGGGTTGTGAATGGCTGGGAATGTCATGTTGAATTAAGCAAACTGGCCAGTCTTTTTGAAATGATAAGAATGGGTTTCCCTTGCTCATGGACAATGGAAGAGCTCTGGGTAGGGACCAGGAGCATCCACTAGAACAGTGTTTCTCAACCTCAGCAACTTTAAGATCTGTGGACTTCAACTCCCAGAATTCCCCAGCCAGCATAGCTGGCTAGGGAATTCTGGGAGTTGAAGTCCACAGATCTTAAAGTTGCTGAGGTTGAGAAACACTGTGCTAGAAGCAGGACAGGAGGGTACTAAAAAAGTCAAAATGGTGGCAGCAACTGAGCAATAAAAGCCCCGCCCCTTTTAAAGGGGGCGGGGCTTTGATTGCTCAGTCCTTGCCACCATCTTGACTTTTTTGACCTTCCTTGCAGACACCCCTGGTAGGAACTATGACCCAAGAACTGGAATGGATATGTCTAGGTTACATCTGTTTCTATTTATATAAATAAGATTTTTTTTCCTTTTGGTTTTAATAAATACCAGATATATAATGTACAGTCTGTACATTATTACAGATAATGCCCCTGAATGTTAGGAATTGGACAAATTGCCCCAAAATAGCTTTTCAGATGTAGTTTTCTTCAGCATCATCTGTGTCCAAGGGGTATTTATTCAGAGCTATGGAAGGAAAGAAAGAACGAATCAGTCCTTTTTATTCATTTATATGCGTGATGTCATCATTACTGACAGCCAATCAGGTGTAGTGGGGAAGGTGCTGAATTAGAAACCGGGAGGCTGTGAGTTCTAATTCAGCCATGGAGATTCCCTGGGGGACTTTGGGCCAGTTGTTCCCGCCCAGCCCACCTCACAGGGTTGTTGTTGTGCAAAAAATAGGAGCATTATGTATTGCACCTTGAGTTCTGCAAAGTATAGGCAGGATATTCATCTAATAAGAAAATAAATAAAGGTGCGATATAAATTTATAAATTATGTAGGAAAACAAGCATGGATGGATTCCGGTCAGGTATGACTCCGGAATGAACTGCACTGTGAAGAGACCTCTCTTTAAATCAAGGATCGCTGAATGTTTGTTTCTGGGAAGGAGCCATCTCTGTCCATAAGGGGCTAATAGGAAAAGTCAGAACAAAAATGGAATCAGGTCATCTACGGGGGGGGGTCAAAAAAGTTAAGATGGCAGTCATTGCCATGCAATAGAAGCCTGTCTTGTTTGTTTATTTATTTATTCAATTTGTATGTAGTTTTTGTACATGCATTGCAGCTTCCACCTTAATTTTGCTGTGCCCCTCCCCATGGTCTCCCCTGAAGGGAATGCAACTTAATGAATTAAGTTGAGTGCTCCCGATGCATTTAATAACTTCTGCCTTTCTTCCTGTTACACTGACAATTTTTAGACAGCTTTTGTAGTCACACCTCGAGGCCTCAGGTTGAACCCCCTTGTTTTAAACGGGGGATGTTCATTTGTTTCCAGACAGGGCCAGTTAAAGCTTCTTGGTTAGGGGGCCATTGCTGTTGAGGGGGCTGCTGGGCCCCTGCCCTAAAATCTTGCCGGGAAAATACGTCTGTTCCCTGTGGTTGCTCCACCTAAATTTAAAGTGCAAGGGAAGAATGCTCCCCCTCAGTTTTGAGCAAAATAAGACTGTCCAGATTTGGGGCAATCATGGTGTTTGACACTGGGGTGCAAAACTGGGAGCAACTCCAAACTGCTGAAGGGGCAGTCCTGGGAGGGGGTCAAAAAAGTCAAAATGGCAGCCGCCACCATGCAATCAAAGTCACGGCGCATGTAAAAAGGGGTGGGGCTCAATCAGATGGCGTGGCCGCCATCTTGACTTTTTTGACCCCTTCCCAGTGGCTACCCCCGAAACTGCTCTTTGGTGCCACCTAACTTGCCCATGCCATGCAGAGTTTCCTTTGCCCAAGCCAAACATACCTGTGCAGCTTCCATAATGCCGGACCCCTATGGATTGACCGAAGAAGCAGGTGGCTCGCCGTAGGTGGCAGGTAGAGGGGTAAGTCACGTTGTTGTTCCCACAGATTGTGTGGTCTAGGCTGGTGGGATCTGGGCAGGGCTCGACCCTACACATCACACAGTGGGCACTTCCCGTCTGGTCCACCACGCAGGTGTGGGTCCCGGGGCAGACCACGCTGGAGCAAGATTCTGGAGGAGAGAGGCCGCAAAGAAAGGCACTGAGATCAAGGGTGTATTTGGAGGTAGACTGTCTGTTGACATGGAGGTTCCTTCCATTCCTATGGAACACCACAGAAGGGCGCCCGGAGTCCTGAAGCTGTGATGGGTGGCCATATAAATTGAAATAAATAAATAAAATAAAATTTCAGCCTAGGCCAGCATGCTGCCTCGTGGAGCATCACAAAGAGCAGGATGTGGTATTTAGACAGACTCTCCTTTAGCTGGAGGTTTTGGTTACCCTTTAATATCCCTTTTAAAGGTATCCGGTTCAGACAGCAGTCTCTGAATGAACTGTTGATTCATGAACTTAGGAACTTACCCTATTTAATTAAATTAGCATTCATTCTCCAGAGGATTTTTCACAGTAGAATTTACACTAAAGAAGACCTAAGACACTTGTCACTTTATTTTAGTGTGCAGACACAAATCTCAGGCGCTTACCGTTCTCTGCCAACCCTCATTTTAAAAGAAAAATATGCATCAAAAAAATGAACCCATACACCAGGAAACCTATTCATTTTATTGTTTTTTGACCCAAGTGAAAAGTACTGTGAAGTATTGTGTGAAAAAAACAGATCCCCACAAAAGGATGCAGTTTGGTGTAGTGGTGAAGGCACCAGGCCAGAAAGCAGGAGGCTGCGAGTTCTAGTCCCGCCTGAGGCATGAAAGCCGGCTGGGTGACTTTGGGCCAGTCCCTCTCTCTCAGCCCAACTCACCTCACAGGATTGTTGTGTGGAAAATAGGAGGAGGAAAGTGTATTAGGTATGTTCGCCACCTTGAGTTATTTGTAAAAATAAAAAAAGCAGGATAAAAAAAATCTAAAAAAAAATTAATCTCCTTTTTATACACTTGGACTTCTTTTTGGATATTTACTTTCTGCAAAACTGACTGGAAGCGAACTCTCCACTCATTGTTCAAAACGTGGGGCTGTGTTCAGAGATCAGGTTATGCATGTGATTTCGAGATCTCTGTTCTGAGATCTGCAATGCCCACAGAGGAAGGGCGCAACTCACTTTTGCACTGGCCTTGGTACATGACCTCCAAGTCAGGGTGCCCTCTGCACTTGGCCGTGAGAAGATCGCATTCATCCTGGTACGTAAAACCATTGGAGCCACATACTTGAAGCTTCCTGGGGAGGTTGGAGCAATCCGGAGCGCATATGCACTGCGGGCGTCCATGCTTCATTTTGCACACCTTGCCCGGCCCACAATCCACCCCTTCGCAGGACTCTGGGTGAAGAAATAAAAACGAAGCGTTTACACGGGGCGAACCGTAGTTAGAAGAACCATAAATCCCAGTGAGTCTCAGAAGAAGGATAGATCATTGATGTTGTTTTCTTTACAAATCATATATATCA